ATTTCTCGAAAAATTTTTCATGATTCATTCAGATATAGAGTGCATGGCGGAATTACACCAGGTGAAGTAATTAGAGCGAGAAGAAAGATTTTGACTCTGCCTTATTTGAAAAATTGCCTTTAAAATTTGACTATAAAAGTGAAAGTACATACCATCCATTGCGACACCGTCACCGGCATCATCACCGTCAACGATGCTTATGCGTCAAGTTAGACACTATCCGTTTGACGTAGCATCCGAAAAATCATACACTCGCCGCTTATCTTTGCAAAATTTGCGTTTAGCTTTTGCACTTCTTCTATTAGGTTTTCCTACATAATTTTTTAAATTTCGTTTTTCGATAAATCTTAAAATTTCCACCAACTGAAAAAAATTACGTTCAAACATGTAAAGAAAACACTGAATAGTTTTCATTTGACGCAATTACATAAGCAAAATTGAGAATTGAGCTAATTTGTGCGGCACCGTCACCGTCAGCTTGTTCATGTAACTTACTTCATACAAATACACCGAACCAGCTTTTTTGACAACTGCCGGTGACGGTGACGGACGTTATGTACTTTCACTTTAAGGCGGCCGAATGACAGAAAATAAATAATATGACAGAAAATAATAATAAATAAATCCATATGGATGCGCCTTGTACCGCCCTTAAGCTTGATATACAGTTCAATGCGAGCGTGAGCGTGAACTTTCGCAAAGCCAAATAATTCAATTTGTATTCTTATGGACGCTGTCAAAACTTGTCGTTCACATGCGAAAGCTTTGCGTACGCACCCAGTTGACTGTAAGCATGAAAAAAGGCACATTATGCATTTTCAATTAGTTTTTAATCTATAAGTCTGAGAGATATTTGAATTCTCTATCTTTTGATGTATCAACTGTTGCAAAAAGTTAAGTAATAACGAAGATATTGATCAAAATAAAAAGCTCACGCTCACGCCCGCATTGAACTGTATAGCAGGCTTTAGCCCTGTTCGCGTACGCACTATCCAGTAAATCCAGTACTAATTTTACTGGTTTTTTACTGGATGTCGTTTTCGTACGCAAAAACTTGCAAGAAACTAGCAAAAGAGGGGAAATTGAGAGAGCAAAAATGACAGCTGAACTTGCAAGTTTCACTGGATTTTTACTGGATAAATTTTTACTAGCCACTATTTGCTAGTAAAAAAACAGCTGATGGCACGATGCTTATTGTAAATCGCATTAAGAAAATAATTGTTTGTGGTTCTTTTAGAGTTGCAATTGACAAAATAAACCTATTTAAATATATTATAAGATGGAAAATACTAGTTTTCTAAGAAAATTGCATCGGAAAATAACAAATTAATCATCTGTTCATAAAATTAGCAACTTCTTGCTGGTTTTGCGTTTTCGTACTTTCTTGCATATTTCAGTAAAATTTTGGCTTACTTTCCGAAATTTGGCATTTTATACAATTGAATAGCTTTGGATAAGAAAAACCCGTTTAAAATACAAATTAATTATATCGGAATGAATAAGTTATTTTTCTCATAATTATTTGTGATATCACATGGTGACATATTCAAAAACAAGAGTATCTCCTCCAAACACTCATCATTGATCCAAAAAAAATGTAATAGATATAGCTACAGATGTAGATTTAAAATTATAAAATTTTTATTTCAACAACCAACCTACCAAAACCGAAAACTTCAGCAAAAAAACATTTAGCATGCTGCATTTAAATCTATTTTGGTATATTTAAAGGAAAATTATGGTACAAACGAAAAATGTCATACGGCAACCATAGTTTGCGTTTTCGTTCTTCTTGCATATTTCACTCATTGGGAGTAAATATTGGCTTATTTTCCGATATTTTGGTATTTTATACAATTGAATAGTTTTGGATTAGAAAAACCCTTTTAAAATACAAATTAATTATATCGGAATGAACACACTAAAGTAAACAAACTGGAGATTAATAGCAAATTAACGAAAAATAAACTCAACAAAAGTCGTGCTTATTAAATTTACTCACTTTTTCGTTGTATACTAGCACTAATAATAAAATTTGCAATAAATAACTCAAAAAGGCCATATTTTCTTTTGTTTATTTACAAACATGTGTTTGTGATCAGCTGATTTTCTTACTTGCAAGTTTTAGCTGGGAAAAATTTTTCCAGCAGAAATTTGTAGCTCTCTCAATTTCCCCTACTTTGCAAGTTTTTTGGGTACGAGAACGCAAAACCAGTAAAAGTTTTCTAAAACTTTAGATAGTTGGGCGTACGAGTACACTCCTATTGCAACAACGGGACGAAACGGGAAGCGGATGATGTTAGCATGCATAATAGTACGATTTTAATTACATTTTTTAATTGGGGGATTCACAACGGTGTACGTGTCGTATTGTTGTATGTCGTAAACTTTAAAAGCTCAAATAAATGGTTTGAGAACTTGAAACCATAACCAACTATTTTGTTTAACACTGCAAAAATGCATAATATGACTTTGATGGTAGTATTGCAAACCCCTGTGATATTCTTTTTAGGCGTTTAAAGTTTACGACGTACAACAATACGACACTGTTGTGAATACCACAACTGTCTTTCTGCTAAACATTTACAAATTCGACCGATCTTCAGCTTGCATAACACAAATAAAAAAAATACGTACTTTCCACTTAAAAGGAAACTTTTATTCTAAAATTTGTTATTAATATAAAAGTAGGCAACACCTTCCCAATTTTTAAGCTGTTTCCATTGGTTGCGCAGCAGTTTCTTCGGTGTATTTGCCCTTTTCCTTGCCCAAGGCAGCCATGCGTCCCTTACCGCGGCGATCCAAAATTGCTTTGCGGTCTTTGTCCAATTTCAGTTTAACAATCAAACAGTTTGATGGGTGAATACCGACATATACATTAGTGCCATTTGCGTTTTCACGTTGAATCTTTTCAATATAAACAACGAACTTCTTGCGATACGACTGTACCACTTTGCCCACCTGATTGCCACTGAAATGGCCACGCACCACTTGCACTTCATCATCCTTGCGAATGGGCATTGAGCGAACATTGTACTTTTGGCGCAACTCCTTCGATAATGGAGACGACATTAGGCGACGGCGGATGTGCGAAGGAGCCTGGAAATGCCGCTTGCGATTCTTCCTGCGCGAAGACGTTACAAATTTGTTTTGTTTCATGGTTGTGTACGCTATAGTTTGTTCTGTAAAAATAAGGAATTTGTTATCTGTCCATTATCACAATTGTAGAGTGAGAAGAGTTGAAAAACTCAGAGCCGACTATTCGCAGCGGACACAAAATCACATAGATTTTTTAAGATTGTGAAGAACTTCAGCTACAATTCGCTCATTGCACTGATCCATTCTCACTGATGCAAAATAATGTACGCAACCACATAAAAGGTAAATTTCGATACCAATGCACACTACTGACTTGCTGATTAATTCGTTGAAAAATGGTTGATTCTATTATGTCCGCCCGAAAATAGTCGCACTTTTATAAAATCTATAACCATCATGAAAAACGCAATCACTTTTGCTTTATGTATTTGATTTCTCATGATGATGGAAATAGATATGAAAAAATTTTATGGAGCAAAACTTACACCAAACTTGGCCCGTATAAACAACAAAAAGAAGGAATCTGACAGTTCAATTGTCGGAAGTAGCAAAACTTGACTTGAAGTTTGTTGTGATTCGTTTGTAGTTGCCAGATTTATATACGTAGGAGATGGGCGACTTTGCATTCTTCATCTATTTTGCACGTTACCGAAGATATTTTAACCGGAAAATTTTATTACCAAAAAATGTTTTCAGTTGTTGTCACCGCGATTCTACTTTTTATGGCCAGCGCAGAATAGACCTGTTAGTTTTCAATAAAAGGTGAAACAATTGACAGTAGTGTGTGTGGGAGATTGGAAATTAATAATAAAAGGTTTACTATTTTAATCAGACCCAATAAAAAGGTGGCCGCTGTGGTGTAGTGGTTATCACTCCGCGGGACCTGGCTGTAAGACCGGTTCAACCCAACATCATTAAAATAAAAAACAATAATAAAAAAATCTAATAGCGGTCGCACCTCACCCCACGTCTCGCATTTTCTACTAGTTGCGTTCCTTATCTCCCAGAAATAGTCAGAAAAAGTCCGAAGTAGTCAGATTTAGTCCAAAAAGCGTACCTTACTCGAGAATGACAGGAAAACTGAGAGAGCAACACTCAGTGAGAGTCATTGTATTGGCTTACAAGTCATGAACCAAAAATACAAGATCTAATCAAAAAAGCAAGAAAAAAGTATATTTCTGAGCGATATCGATTACAAAACCGACAAATATCGATAACAAAATCGATAAATATCGATAACAAAATCGATAAATGTCGATATCAAAATCGATAACAATCGATAACAAAATCGATATTTATGGAAAACAAAATCGATAAATATCGATAACAAAATCGATAAATATCGATATTTTATCGACAAGTCCCTCTTTACTTTTATCGGTATCCTCATTCTCCTCTTTGTCTTTACTTTTATTTTTATCATTTTCTTCATCTAAATATTGTCCTCAGCTTTGCCCTTATATATAAGTAAAGTGTTTAAATTTACCATGGTCTTAATTTTTACTTTTATCTTTACGCATCTTTGTTTTTGTTTTTATTTTCACCTTTGCCTTTATCCTTTCCTTATATATGTTCGTAGTCGCCTTTACTTTCATTCTTTATTGGTCTTTTTCTAAGTGTTATTCTTTAACCTTTTATTAAGAAATTTTTGTTAAATTAATACCATATGCACACACACAAGAAGCACTTGTTTCAGCCCCAACCATTTCCGTTGCACCACTTCCGTTGCATCATTTCCGTAGCACCATTTCCGTGTGCAATTCAAAAAAGAATTTTTCACTATCGAATAAACAGTGAGTTGGGTATTTGCAAATTTGTAAACAAACACTTTCCTTATAATTTTAATAGATAATTGCTATATATTTTCTAATAGTCAAATATTCAGGTTGCATGTGAGGCTCACTAAAATCTACTCATCATGTTGGAGCAGCTCCGGGCAATGGACCATTGAATTTGTGACCACCATATCATCGAAGTTTCCAAGCAAGTGCATATCCTGAATTTATAAGTAGCAATTCATAGCAATTACTATTGTATGTGTATATGATTCATATGTATTCGTGACATTTTATACTTTNCGGGTAATGGTCGCTCAACCTTGGGTGTGCTTAATGAACTCCGGGCGGATGCGCTGGCAGGCATTGGATTCTCTATAACTATACAAACCCCATTATTTTTTTTTTTTTGAAAAAAAAGTTACATATATTCGGAAATTTTGATTTTTATTTGATAAATTCACAAAATAACACTAAATTCAAGTTTTTCATAAAAATATAATCATACAATGGATATTTTTTTGATTCCAATCTTACATTTAAGAAAGCTGCATTCAGTGCAATAATTAAGATTTGAGTTTTCCAGTTTATAGAAACACAAGCGCTAATTATGTAATTAACTGTTCACAGCATTGATATTATGCATTTTGTTCATAAATATCACATAATTACATATATATTATCCTCGAAAAGAAATTTTGGAAAGGGCCTGTGTCAATTGATAGAAAAGAAGACATTTTGACGGATCAAAGTAAAAATTTGACATTTCTCGTGGTGAAAACGAACGTCAGAATTTTACCTAGCTCATGCGGCTAGGTAAAATTTTGACAGCTTATAAACATGTATATACATATTATTGCTTGGCGGTAATAAAGAGGGAACATGAAAATGAAACCCGAAAAAGCACAAAAGAAGCGTATGTTACTTTTAAGTTAAAAAATAAATATACATTTTAACAATTTCAGCAACACACAAAAATAGAGCTTTCGCACGAGCGTTTGCTTGGTTTTCAATTGTCAAAATTTTACTTTGCATTTGGCACAGCAAAATTCAATTTATTTGTACACTATAGCAAATTTTTCCACCCCGGCTCACCACGGAGAAAAAAGTTACCGATCGGCACCGGCCCTAATAATGAGGCGAAATTCCCCACAGTAAGTGTTGCCGTATGCGTAAAACGAAAACGCTGCACTCCCNCTCAAGCAGCAGTACGAATAGCAGGCTTTGTAGGATGTAATTACACACTATGATTGTTGGAAAAAAAGTAGCGCCAGCTTTTAGAAATGGCAATTGTTAAATGGTAAATAAAACCACAAAATACCGGTGGCAACAAAATTTAAAAAATCAGCTAGAATTTTTAGCCGTACATTGTTGGTTATACTAAAATCCCATGGGCTATAGATATAACTGAATACCCAAAAACGTTCTAAAAATTTAGAGCAAAAAGCCCTAAATTTAGACGAAAATTTTGGAATTTCTCCACATGTTGTATACAGCTGGAATGCTTGGTTTTTATGGGTTCGGTTAAAGTACAAACAATATTTGGGCAATTCACAAGGTGTCGTATTTGTCGTGTTTGTCGTCAAGTCATGATATTTCATGACAGTTGTAAAAATGTTGTTATTGT